CAAACCACGGGGGTTTTTCAGAAAAAGGGGGAATTTGGAATTTCTAGTTATAGAAGTCACTTGTGGCAAAGGGCCAATAGTGAAAGAGTTGGTGCCCAACTGCACCAGGGATACCTGCAACTCTCAAAGGGAAGATGACAGCCGAGTCAGTCAGTGTCAGGAGGTCCCACCCTCCCCTCCTAGTACTTCTGAATGGCCCCAGTTCTCTCCCTCTGGGTCGTGCACTCACGGATCCTGACCAGCTTCCATAGGGGCTGCTGCCTGTTCCCCCAGAGCTTCCATGGGTGCAAACCCTGCAAGAGGAGTGGGGACATAAGGTGGGAGTGGAAGATCTATTCTTTAGTGTTTATGTCCTGGTAAACGGGGTGAGGGGGTGGGTGTCAGACTTTTCTGAGGTCACCTCAGCTGTTCAGCTACCAGAATTTCCACCTGTTGAGTGAAGAAAGGTTTGGGGGGTGAGTGGACTGGCCCTCTATAAAGGCTCTCCAAGTGACAAAACAGGGAACCTGGTCGGGGTAAACACGGAGTTGGCAGGCAATGATCAGTCCAGGCATGAAAGTTCCTTCAGGTGGCCAAGCAACCCTAAAAGTGGCCCATTCAGAGCTGCAAAAAGTAACCAACTTTCCTTTATGAACCTCAACTCCCTCGTTTTGTGCTGTCACTTTCACATCTTTCCACGGGGCCAAGCACAAGTCCAAAGGGGAAGAAGGGGTCTATCCCACGGCTTCTAAATATACAAAACACAAACAGTGAGTAACAAGCAAGACGAGGGCACACAACCCCCCCCAAACAACCAACAATAATGCAAAAACAGCAACAGCTCGTGATCCCTCAGAGGGAGGAACTCTCCAGGCTCAATTAACCAAAAAAACATTCACACTCGACATTCTCCGTCCTTTATCAAACAAGTTTTGGGGGTTCCTCGTTCCCTTCCCAAGATCCAGAACATCTTCTGGACCCTGGTCCTCCAGCGCAACCGCCTGTCTCAGACACCGACTTTTACTGGACCACATTACAGATGAGGCGTGCTTTTGAAAATAAAAGTACAAAAAGACAGAGACAAAAAGATTCACTGGCCAGTCAAGAACTCCTCAGGGCCCAAGTCTGGGGTATGTGTCCCGGACAAGCCCCCAAAATGTCATGACCAGGATGCAGGACCCCCAAACACAACCACCACATAACCAGGTACCAATGCAAATACAAGTTCAGGCCATATGACAGCACTCCAACACAGCAGGAGAGAGGAACAGCCCCGAACCAGCATAGGAGAGTCTATAAAGGTAAAACTGCAAGCTGGGGGGAAGGGGAGTCGCGGAACACATGCCTTGGCATTTTCTGATCTTGGGCCAATTGGCCCTGGGGTTAAGCAAGCAGTGAGGAATTTGTTAGAAAATCTGGTGACCATGATAACCTGCCGGTTAGTCTCATGACTGGCCGATTCAGGGATAAGTTCTGAAGCAACTTTTAGCTGTTTGTGGTTTTTCTTGGAACCGGGTTGAGGGTCCAGTCAGGAGCCTCTCAAGATGGTGTCTAGTCATCCTAGTCCAAAATGATGCTAGTTTTGCCTGTTCCCACAATGTCAGTCCTCTCCTAGGACTTCAATGTACTATCACCTTAATGGAAATATACAGATGAAATAGAAAAGGCTAACTCAATTAAAATACAATGCCCCCAAACCATAGCCACCACACCTATCAATTTAAAGCAAATTATCTAAAATATCTCAAAACATTCCTAGGAAAAATAACAAGGGGATACCTTTCAATAGGCTTAGAGAATTTAAATCTATCTTATGTATGGAAAAAGCCTTATCTGAGATAAAGCTGTGGATAGACAGAAAGCATCTTTACAGTTGTATCCAGCTAGCAAAATCTGATTTGTGAAAAGCAGCTAAACAATTCATCACAGTTGCATTATTCAAAATGGTACACACTGTAATTAAAATATACTTCTCCTATAAATGTAAAATACTCTAGATTACACTAGAGTCCACTCCTAAGTGATTACATAATGCACAGAATGTCCACACAAGCAAAGATCATGTTAAGGATCTGGAAGCCAGTCATTCCTCTAGTCCTGAGGCAACATGAGATCAGTAACAAAAATTGACAATTAGTATTCTGAAAAAGATCCCTTACAGTGTAAATAAAAGTTCCTCAAGGCTGGTGGTGGTGGCACACGCCTTTAATCACAGCACTAGGAAGGCAGAGGCAGGTGGACCTCTTTGAGTTCGAGCAGAGCCTAGTCTACAAAGCTACATAGAGAAACCCTGTCTCAAAAAAATTTTTTTAAGTTTCTAAAGGTATTGGAAGTTATTAATGATTGAAACACATGCTAGCCTTGAGTGATAAATACATTTTCCAACTCATACACAATTAAGTGAGAGGTACAAATGTCACTAAACGACTATAGAGCACTGTCACTAATATTCCTTGGAGACCAATGTTACAGGGAGGAAACGTCAGTTAGGACTAACATTTTTTTTTTTGCTACTCACAAAATGCTGTTTTCCAAGTATACAAATGTACACAGCTTAATTAACACATTATTTCATGCTTCATACTTTTCTACAAAAAAAAAATTGATCACCACACACAAAAGTGATACAGGATTTGGAAAACTGGTGTGGTTTTCCACCTTCTCTTTTTGAAACAGGGTCCTACACAGCCCAGACTGGCCTGGAACCATCTATGTAGCTGAGGATAATTTATAACAATGGTGGGATTACAGGCAGATACTACCATGCCTAACTAGAGTGCAGAGGATGGATCCCAAGGCTTCGGGCATACTTGGCAAGCAACTCTACCAACTAAGTTGTATCTCCAGATTGGGCTTGGTGGTACCTCAAAACCTTTGTTGTTGTTTTTGCAGGGCTGTGGTGGTAGATTCCTTCAATCCCCCAACCTGGTCTATAGAACTAGTTTAGTTCAAGACAGCCAGGGCTATGCAAAGAAATCCGTCCCCCCTCCCCGAGGTGGGGGTATTACAATTACTCTTTATGGTGTCTTCACAAATTTAGAGATCAAAAGATAACTTGCTTGAGTCAGTTCCCTCCTTCCATTATGTAAGTGAGTGCCTGGGATCCAAACTCAGGTCACTGTTGGGCTTTATCACTGAACTGTCTCCATTCTCTAGATGTACTTTAACACCAATTATTTCCCTTGATGGTGAGGGTTATTGGGGACACTTCCAGATCCCTTAAAAAATTAAGATCTGAGACCCACTTAATTCACAACGACTAACTATACATTTAAGAGAATTTATTAGCACTAAAAACCCAAACCACCAATTCAGGCATGTTACAGAAGCTTCCTACCACTGAGCAACAACTCCAGCCAAGACCATTTGGTAAATACTTCACTCTGTGTAAACTCAGTGAATTACACTTTTATTCGGGGTGGGGATGGGGGGTGTTGAGACAGTGTTTCTGTGTGTAGCCCTGGCTGTTCCCAAAAGATCTACTAGGATTAAAGGATTGCACCACCACCACCCTGCATATTCTTTATAGCTGTATGTTTGCTTTCCTCAATTTTCCCAACTTACAAAACTACTGAGTCTCGAGTGCAACTTCAACATACACTGAGGGAGGAGACGGTCTTCTCCAAGACTGTAAAGGCTATCAAACTCTACAATAAAATTACTCGTGAGGGTAAGATGCACACCCCTTTTACTTTCCTTATGTTTTCAAATAGTATTTTAATTGTTACACTCAAAATACTCAAATTTTCCAAATTATTACTGTTTTGGGTGACACCAGAATACAACGAAAAGGAGGCCAGAATGCAAAAACAAATATGGATTAAACTGTTTTTTCCTACAAAACGGTTTCAGCTTCACATTCAATTTTCGTCAGAAGATTGTCAGGCAATCAAAAAATGAGAATGCTAACTGTTCTTAAAGAACAGGGTGCCAACATTTTTCGACAAAGTTAAAGAAATCTGTCTTTATCTTGCATTTTCAACTCAGTTTCTCAAGTTCTCTCCCTCCCCTCTTAGGCTTTGATGATGGGACTTTCTACACAAGTTTACAAGTACAATGCACCCGCCCGCCCCTTGCCACAGAGGCTCCACCACCACCACGCTGGCTCACGGAAGAGCACCGCTGGCCAAGGGCATAAAGGTTACCACGCTGCCTCCACGAGAAGCGCGCCGACAACTTCATCAGCCGCCCTTCCGAGAGGCCCAGGGTCCCAAGAGTTAGCAGCCTCCCTCCCGGTCAAGAGGCCAGCCTCGTTTCCGGTGCCACCCAGCGGCAAACCTCCTGCCCCATCCCGCGGGATACAATTTCCTCCCGCGCTCGGCTCCCCCTCCCGCTGGCCAAGGACGGGGCCTCCGCGGCGGACCTCCAGCCCGGGCAGCTGCTCCAGCCCCGCGGGCCTACTGCGGCCGGGCCGAGCGAGCGGAGCTGGGGAGGGCGAGCCGCCAACGCTGCTCTCCGTCCCGCCCCGCCAGCGCCTTCCCCCCCCCGCCCCCAGCACTTCCTACCTTCCTGCATCCCAACCCCCAAAGCCAAGGTCTCCCCGGCCCACAAACCAGGCGGCGGAAGTGACGTCACGGGGCCCGGCACCGCCCGCAGCCAGTCACGCCACGGCAGGAGGCCGGCGCCGGCCAACCGGCGCCGGCCAGGGGCGGGACTTCCGCCCGCCGCCAGTTTGATTGAAGCGCGGGGGAGGGGCGAGGTGAGGAATGTGAAGAATGACCCCCTCCCCCGCCTGGTCGCCGCGGAGCTGGGCGGGAAGCAGAGGGGGCTGGGGCAGGCCAGCGGCCACGCGGCACCCCCTCCCCCGCCCGCGCCCCGCGGCCTCGGCGCGCCGCCGGCCCCGGGGACACCCGCCTGCCCGAGGCGGCCGCGGCAGCCCACGGGTCCCCGGGGTGCGGCGTGCCAGCCCTCGAGCCTTCCCTCCCGCCCGCCCGCTCGCCCGCCCGCCCGCTGCCGCGGCGGGTCCGGGGAAGGAAAAATGGCGACGGCCGCACGCTCGCCCTCACACCCGCGGTACCCACCTCAGGCTCGCGGAGAAGGCCTCCTGCCGCCGCCGCGGGAAGAGCCCGGCCTTCCCCTCCGCCGCCGCGCCCGGAGAGCAGCGCGCCAGAACCCGGATGGAAGCGCGGGCGGGCGGGCGCCGCCTCGGCGGCCTGGGGGAAGGCTACGCGCGCGCCGGGAATCCGATGCGGGGCGGGCGCTGCGGGCAGCGCGCGCGCCCATTGGCGCCGTCTGTTGACTGACGCGCGCCTCGCCCTTTCGCCTCCGCCGCTCGGGGAGGCTGGCGGCTGAGCCCGCCCCGCACTGGGCGGCCGCGGCGGAGAAGGCGGGTCCAGCCCGCCCACCGTGACGGCTCCTCTCTCCCTGCGGGAGAACCGGGAGAAGAGCGAGGAGCGTCCCTCGGCCCCGCCCTCCGCGCTGATGGACAGGCCACGTCACACGGCCGCTGGTCGCTTGCCCAGCTGCGAGGCGGGAGCCGCCGGAGTGCCCTGGGCGGGTTTCACGTGTGCACGCGGTGTAAGGTCCCCCGGAATCTTCCCTCTCAGCGGCCCCGAGGCCGGGTGCCGAAGCTGCTCTGTGCCTCCGCTCAGCCATCGGTCACATAAGGAGTTATGTCTTCTATACTGTAACTTGTGTCGTTTTTATTATTTTTTTACATCCCATATATTGATTTTTTTTGTACTAAAACTTTTTCAAGAGCCGTTCTATTAAAACTTCCCCTACTAGGACTTTTGAATCGCAAGACCTGTGCTCTAGCTATTTTATACTGGTTATTTCTAGGAGCTTTGTTCATTTTTAAATGAAAAAAAAGTGAGCACTTGTCTGCCATACAGCCAGGGGACATGACACTGTAGATTTCAGTGATGTGCTTATATTATGAACTCAGACTGTCAGCTGTCCTAGTCCCATCCAAAGCAAATGGCAAGTTAAGAAGATGGAGGGTTAGTGTCTACAAGATACTAGAGGAGGCAAATGATCTCGAGCTTGTGGGAAGGGTAGGTTTTGGGAGGGCTTCAACCCTCAGGGTATACTATGAGAAATGATTATAAACACTATATAGAAGATGATGGCATAAACTGTTATGTTTATACAAAACTAGACTCCTCGCAGTAGGTTTTCCTTCATAGACATAATTCTCTCTCTCTCTCTCTCTCTCTCTCTCTCTCTCTCTCTCTCTCTCTCTCTCTCTCTCTGTGTGTGTGTGTGTGTGTGTGTGTGTGTGTGTGTGTGTGTGTGTAATAGACAGAAACCTAGTTTGAAGGTGATTCCAGACCCAAAATGCTTAACTGTAGCCATGTAACTGAAAATGAGTGAAGTTTTAGGTTTCTGTCCTAGGAGAAAGGACTTTCCCTCCGTTTCCGGAGGGGTATCCCAGACAATGAGAATGGGGACTTATAATATAGGACTAGCCCATGGGGAAGCAACCTGCTGGGCCCAGAAAGAATTGGGCGTTTACTGAGACCAAAGATGAACAAACTCCTGCAGCCGAGGTTCTTGGAGTAGCCAGTCCGGCGTCTGTGATTCTTTGACATCTCAGTCCCCTCTCTACTCCCTGCATGGCAGACGGAGGCTCCCTCCAACTTTCTCAGACTAGACAGACAAAGCAGTACATGTAACCAAGACTATCAAGACGAAGCATACTGCTTCTTGAAATGTTCTCTAGCCTTTGCCTCAGCCTGTCCCTTGTTACAGTTTCCTGTGTCCTCTGTCTTCTATTCCCTTTGGCCCTAATTCATTACATAACTTCAAGATAATTAGCTTGCCTCTTGAACTCCCTGCTGTTCACAGGTTAGACTCTGTGTCCTTATTCCTGGGTGTAATGGGTCATTTTAGTATGTCAGTTTGAGCCACCATGCACCAAGATAACTTGTTAAATATATTTCTGGATGTGTCTGTGACAATGTTTCCAGATGAGATTAACATTTAAATTGGTAAACTGAGGAAAAGCACATGGCCTTCCTCAATGTGAGTTGGCCTCATCTAATCCATCCAGGGCTTGACTAGACCAAAGTGGTCCAGGGACAGAGGGAGGTTTAATTCTCCGTTGACTGCCAGGTCTTCACACTACAGCAACTTTCCTGTTTCCAGCTTGCATATGAAAAACTGTGGGACTTGGTCCAGCTACATGGCTCAGCACATAAAGGTAAGTTCGATCCCCAGATCTATGTGGTACATTAGCCGAGCCTGCCAAGTTCTCCTCTGACCTCCACACAAACACTAAATGAATAAATGAAAAAAATAATTTTCCAAGAAAATTGTAGGACTTCTTGGACTTCATATTCATTTAAGCTGACAATGAACATGCACATTTACAGGTAGATATTCTTTGGCTTGTGATAAAGTTTGAAGCCAATAAGCCAGTGTTGTAAGGTAAACTGTCATCAGTTGGGAATATTGTGATCCTGCTTTCATGCAAGTACTGAGTAACATACTGGATCTTCTTTGGCAGTTCACCGAGGCCCTGTTATGGCATGGCTTGGCTAACAGGAGAATAATAGCTGGCAGTGTCATGACAACTTCAGCCTCCTCCATACGTCCCTGCCCCCTGAAGGACCTGAAGTGCTGCTTCACAACAGAGAGAAATTCCACAAGCAAAGACCTCAGGCAAAGCGGGACACTTTTCTCCCCAGGATTATCCTTGGGATGCGGTAGATTTTTGTTATATTACTTACCTCATACTATCTTCCTCAACCAGTTTATAAACAGGTCATGGCCTAGGGTCCCATGTAATTCACACAAATGCTTTGTTAAAATACAGGTGGTGTTTTAAATTGGCTGACAGCATTCAAAAGAATGAAGATATTTAATGTGAAAATATCTGGGTTTCTTGGTTTTCTCAAAAAAAATGAATTGGAATCTCTGCACTCAGTCTGCATTCCAACATGACAATATTTTCTTTATTTGAAGAATTAGCTATGCTGTTTGTCAGTCGCCAAGGAGTCTGAGCCATTTTTATGACAAGCCTGGTCCCTGAAGTCATTGAATGAGTCCTCTGGACGTAAAACACAGCCTCCTCTTGCAGGGGCGGGGTCCGGACTCATTTCAGTTGTGGGGATTTAGTCTCAGCTATTAATCCTGACTTCTTCACCACTGAGGTGAACAGGGGGCAGAAGCTGAGCAGCCCCACGGACGTCCTCCACAAGTGCCTAGACGAGGCCGATTAGCACCCCTTCCTAAGAGCAACTGAAAAACGAACGACGTGAAGAAAGCCCTTGACCTCAGCCCCAAAGCTGCAATGACAGATGAGAAGAGGCCTGTCTGCAGAAAGCATACAAGCTGGAGTGGAGAAGCAAGGGAACTAGGGAGATAGCTCAGTGTGGAAAATGCTCGTCACACAAGCAAGAGGCCATTAATGCAGTCTGGTTCCAGCACTGACACAAAAAGGCAAGGGTGGTAGTGTGCACCTGCCTCCAGTGCTGGGGAATAAAGACAAAAGGATCCCTGGAGACTGCTGCCTAACCAGCCCAACAGAATCAGTGAGAGACCCTGTCTCTTTAAAATAAGGTGAAGAACAATTGAAGACACCTGACATTGACCTCTGACCTCCACATGTACACACACACACACACACACACCCGCACGCACGCACGCACGCACTCACTCATGCACTCACTCACTCATGCACTAAGAATGGGGGTTGTAACAAAAGCTGACTCCCTGCATTCTGGGATTGCTGAGGACACAGTGATGCCATCTTGGGCTTGAAAGCCATCTTGGAGCAAAAGCAAACTATGTTCACTCCTGTTTATGATTAAATCTGCTTCTCAAGGATCGGGCTATGCCCCACCTATAACCTTAACTATACATGGATACATGGTTCTCAATTGCTGGTTCGAGGAAATGACAACCATTCCTTCATTTCAAAAAGTTGCAATGACCATCTTGCAACCTTACTGTTGTTTCAAAGGTTTTTATGACTACCTTGTTCTGACCACATTGTTGTGGTCTGCTCCTGTAACCCTGCCTATTTTGCCCACCAAGTCCCCCATTTGGAAACTCTCTATCCCTGAGCTATAAAAACCTTGTCTTCCTCACAGCCAATGCTGATCTCTTGAACCCTGCTTTTAGGGAGAGACAGCTGGTGTACATGAATAAAAAAAAACGCTTACTTTAATTAATTTGGCTATGATGATTTGGGTCAGTAGACTTTCTCCTCCAATTTTTGGGATTAACAACAGCACTGTTTCCCTAGTAGGTGTCAGACATGTTCCCCTTACTCTGGAAGAATGACATGGAGTTTGGTGAGTCAAGCTCAATGGTGAGGGAGTTAGGAGGAGGACCTACATAGGTGGATTAAGAATCCACTTTTCCGCCATCTACTAACTGGGGTATGGGATATATTGTTGATTTCCTTAGACCTCAGGTACTCTCATATTGACTTACTCTTGAGTTGTGGGGTTCCCAAAATTCAGTTGGTGGAGTACTTGCGTAGCAGACGGGAAGGTGAAATCTGCACCCCATAAACTGAGCTAGATGGTACACATCTTTAATCCTAGCGCTTGGGAAGTGGAGGCAGGATCAAGAGATTCAAGCCATCCTTGTTCAGGTTAAAGGCTTTCCTGGGCTACAAAATTCAACATGTGTGCATAACAGGAACTCACAAAGCCTTCCACAAATACTGAATTTCATGGTAGATGTTTAATGGAAACTGATATACTGGAATTAAAGAATGAACTCGTCTGAAGAACTATGACAGTATTCTTTAAGGGGACAGTTTTTGGGATAGCCTAAAACTCAATTCTAAGCCATATGTAGATTTGCATATATTCTACCATTTAAATAATTGTGGGATCTTAGGCCAGTTATTTAAATTCACTGACCTCAGAACTTTCTCCTAGAAAATTAGAAATAGGAGATAAACTTATCCCCTAGAAGATACGTCTCAGTTCTTCCAGTTATTTCCAGAAATAAATTAAGTCCCTAATAAAACTGTACCTAATGGTTCATAGTCAACACTCAATAAGTTGCAGCTATTGTTGTGATGGGAGAAAGAAGAAACCAGTAGAGCTAGTCAAAGGATCCCTTTCTAGGGGAATTGTAACAAGATTAATATAAACCCAAAGACAGATACCGGGTTCAAGCGGAAGATCAGAAAAGCAAAGCAGCCAGCCAGCAGCCCTTACCTCCACCTCAGACTGAAATGGGTGATCCTGTCTCCACGAATCCTCAGAGTGCAATGCAGACTGCACTGCTCTCCACCAAGGCTCAGACTGCAATCTATGTGTTCCTGTCTCCTCCTGACATATATTGTGGGAACACCAGACCTTGAGCAGAGACCCACTTCCCCTTCTGCCTGGGAGTAGGCAGCTATAAGACAATGTTTAGTAAAAACATGTTTACTAAAAACGATACAATAAGTTCCTGGCCACTTCCCCTTCTGCCTGGGAGTAGGCAGCTGTAAGACAATGTTTAGTAAAAACCTGTTTACTAAAAATGATACAATAAGTTCCTGGGAAAGGCCTTCCCATGGAAACCGCCCTGACCTCGACCTTGTCCAGAGACTAACCGCACCTTCAAAAACCCACACACATCCACCTCTGGTGTCAGAGCAGAACCAGCCAGGGTAGAGGAGAGAGCAGAAGCTTCTCTGGTGG